CCGCCGCGGTCCTTCGTGTAATCGAATTGACCGCCGCCTCCCCACGGAAATTTCAATTAACAAACAATCCAATTCGGTCGTAGACGTAGACCCCTCCGCGTAGTGTTGTACGCCTTCTTGTCTATACCGTCTAGACGGCAAGACTTTGGAATTCTCGAGACGATTCTATACTGAGAATATTAATTTAAAAAATAAAAAAAAAACACCGGCCGTCTTAAAGCAAACGATGCTGCAGTTGCGCTTAACGATTCTAAAATTTTCATTTGTCCTGTCAATCGACGAATTGGTGATTATTTTACGACGGTGCCAATTTTTTCTATACACTGCTTGTAACGAAACATTAATATTGATTTCAATGATTTATGAGGAAATGATAATTTTTGTTTTTTTGTCCACGATAGGAGGACCCTAATATAATAAGGACACGAATCGATTTGCACACGACTTACATCATGAGCAAACGACAATTTTTTTTTTTTTTTTTAATCAGATTAGCCGGGTTTGGTATACAATATTAGGTATAGTTATATATTAATTTACCGAGCTCGTTAAAAAATGTCGTTCACGCCATACATCAGCCGCCAAGTTGTGCACGCGTGTGGAAGACGATTATATTATTATTATTTTGTGTATATATTATTATTGTATACGCCCGAACTCGTTATGTAACATAAAATATGTAATTGACATTTTGGGAGTGCTTGGCTCGTTGAATTTCCAGTCAAGTATACCGGCGTTGTCTGCGTACAAAATTATAAATAAGATGGTTAGCTAGCTGCTGCAGGTATATATGTGTACACACATATTATATGTATGTGTGTGTGTGTGTGTGTATTATAAACACATATATTATGTATATATATATATATAACTATATTATATGCAGCGGCAGCGTCAACAACAAGAAGCCCCTGGGAGGGGAAGTTAATAAAAATTACACGGTCGAGAAAGTAGCGTGGAAATCCGGTGTTCTTTTTTGTTTATTATTATTATTATTTTTATTTTATTTAGTATACCTACTGACAAGCCCACTTAAGGTATATCCGAGGGCCCGGGGGCGACCGGTACATATATAATCATCGTGATTCGTGCGTTGTTCGCGAAGAACGAAATCGAAAATATATCTCGACGACGGGGCCCAGCGAGCGAGCGCGCGCGCGCGCGCGTCCAGACACTATAACATTATAACTATAATATATAATAACATGACGAGGTGCCTATATAGGTATAAAGTATATATAGGTATATGGTATATAGGTATATAATAGGTACACGGGCGATGAGACGACGGTGGGCCGGAGGAACACGTGGTGCGAGCAACTCGCACATTAGGGTCACATTCTTCTTGAATGGACGATCGAAAAAAGCACCCACGATTTCACACGGACAAAAAAAAACCGACGGGAATCGCGTTTTCACGGTCAAAATTATATTATTATATCGTCGTCTCGGTGGGAGATGCCAATAGTGATTTTTTTTTTGATTTTTTTTGCCCGTCTTTCAGTATAGGTATAACGCGTTCTGTTGCCGAACAGCATCACCGTGCGTGCGTGCATGTATATGTATAATGCCTGTGTAATATTATTATTTCGTGAAGAGTGTAATATATATAATATGACTGCTGCACCAGGTAAAGACGAAGAAGAACAACAAAAAAATGCCCTTATTGTAAATAGGTAGCCGCCGCCGCCGCGCCGTGCGCAGACCGTTACTAATCGTCCGTTCGCCGTAATAACAGTAATTTTCATCGAGGGTACCCCATACGCATGTATTACACATAAACAATATGTATATAAGTACTATATATTATTATACGTATATACATATAGGAATTGGAAACCGATCCGGCCGCCGGCCATGCACACACACATGCACAAGAGACAACTGCGGCGGCGGCTACGACGGACGAGGAAACATTTTTACGCTCCACGTGCATATTATATATACCTATATTATTATATTATTTATGTACGACTATTACAACTATATATATATATACACAGACGAGGACGCTAACAAGACGTGCACGACCGGTGGAAGAAAAAAACAAACAGACGAGGGGAGGAGAGAGCGGCGCAAAGGACGATAGAGAAGAGTCGCGTTAAAGGCGTTTTTTCGTATTTCTCCTAACCCCCCCCCCCCCAATCTCCGATTGTTACAAATATTGCGAATTTTTCCACCGGACCCTCGTCGTCACGTGGAGGATTCAAATTTAAAAAAAATTAATTCCATCGAAGACTTTGCAGGTTTACTCCGAAACCAGTGATTACCCGTATTATATTATCAACGAACGTCGATATATGTTATTAAACAAGCGGTTAATTTAATGTTACATAGAAAAAACGCAATACGTTTCGAGACCTACAACTATAAAAACACAAGTGTAATATTAGTAAGTACTACTCGCTTATATACAATACATTATTATTATGAGTACCTCTATACATAAATGTTATTTATCACATGGTTTTTTGTTCATCTCCTTGTACGACGAAAACCGCCATCGGACTCGATTATCAACATATCATATAGAATGTCACAACTGTTTTTTGTTCGTGTAAATCACACGAACTATAAACTCGATCCAGTCGGTTTTTTTCCATACCGAGTGTTCAAATTCCAGGATAACAACATAGGTAATAGTTGTACCTATATACCAATAATGCGTTTGCACGAATATTGCATATTATCGTTCTATATTGGTAATGATACAAATAATATTATTTATTTGTACGAAGCAGGAAAAAAAACCACGTCATATTATTACGATATAATATTTATATTATATTGTAAGAAAAAATTGCTCGACAGAACGTACACGGTTGCGTATATAGGTACCCACTAACCAGTAGGTAGCGTTGGAACAAAGACATGAATTCTGGGTCCATATATAGGTACCGTAGGGTCGTCAGAGGACATTCAGCAGGGTACTCAATATTTAATTTCTTTTTGTGCTCATAAAATGAATGCATAACATGTATTTTTATTATTATTATCATTTAACAACAAGTAACTGCCGTTACACGATCCTTCGCCACGGGGAGTCGGTCGCATCTTTTTTTTTTTTAGGTTCATATTTGTACGTTTTCGGCGAGTACCTATATCCGAAAAAAATTAGCGGGCCTCGACAAGTCTGCGTAAAACGGTTAGGTACCACGTCATGTAATCGCCATATAATACCATATAGGTATAGTCATCATCATTCATTTTGGCTACTCGACGTTCCGTTAGTTTGTTTAAGTACCAATTTCCTATACTACACTACTGATATAACATTATAGTCACCGCGCGACAACGAATCATAATATAACATACGTACGAGTATTATTGTGCAAGGGGTGGGGTGGGGAGCTCGCCGAATATCCGCCGAGTGTATGATAATAATATTATACAAAACCTATACCCACAGCACATCGTACATTATAATATATATATAGGTACACGTATAAATATATATTTTAAATTAATATTTGATCAGAGAGAACCTAAGTAATCGGTAAAAAACAGGATCGGGGCAATTAACGTTGGGCGTATATCGTTAAAAAAAATAAAAAAATAACGATCTACGGGCAGAAGCGAAATTTCCGAAGGAAAAAAAAATGGTGGTGAAGAAAAAAAAATAATACGTAGAGAAACCGGTTCGACGTAAAACCAATAATTTCCGAACTATGTGCCGTCGATATATATAAGGTACATGGACGTAAACTGTTGTGTAGATATTCGGGATTAGTCGTGTTGGTTTATTTTATTTTTTTTTTCACTATTACCATTTCACTCCTTGCCCGCCGCGCGCATCTCATCATGCACGCGCACTGCCCACACACTTTATCGTTTTTTGATTTTTGTCGCGCGCGCGGCGCGTTGTTTGGCATGAGCGCGCGCCGCGGTCGCGATTGCCCGGAAATCGAGCGGGAGACGAATCGTCGTCGTATATTATATGGATGTCGCGCGCGACGGCGGTCCGCGCTCATCGCTCGTCCGGGTCGCGTTTTATCGTGACGATAATTATTATTTTGTTATCGACGACTTGTACGACGCAATCATAGGCGCGCACGGTAACCACCTCCTAAGTCGCGGAGGAGATGGCTCGTTGGAAATGTCGTATTAAAATGCGACTGTCGGAGACGACCGGAGCGGAGTAAAAAAAAAAAGAAAGATACTCGACGGTCGGTATGGTTTATTAAATGTCAAACGGGAAACGCGCCGCGGACGATATTAAATGGCCTAGCATTAAATATTTAAGTGGAAAATCCTGAATTTTTTACAATATTCATTGCGATTTAAATTACAAAAATTAAAAATGTCTCTCGATCCTTGTATATTATATTACGGACAATCCGAATATTTGTTCGCTATGAAATCGTGGTAATTTTCAACACGTATCGTTGGAATTAGAGTAACAGTAGTTTTTGACAAAAAAAGACGTGTAGGTGAAGCCCCTTAACCGTCGTGCAAGTATATAAACAGTTTGAGACTATAAACCTAAGTAAACGCGTATTCGTTTGTGTGCTCGCGCGCACGCGAATCGCGGCAATTAGAATGTTGTTTTTTCCGCGTAAATTACATAATATTTGATTTTCGAGGGACGTCTGAGTATACCTACAACCGTGTGTGTGTTTGTTTTTTATATACCTACGAATGCAAAAATAATAATAGTAATATTACGACTTTTATTATATTATTGGCTTTACTCTATCGGCGCATAGTGCGATTCTTTTTTTCTCGTCTGCTCTCGGAGAATATCTGAGAGTAAGAGATATTTTCGCGAGGTGCAGACAGAACACATAATATAAAAAAATAAATAAAAAACGTGACTTCGAGACCGCAAATTATCGAGCGCCGCAGTTTCCTGTATAAGGAAATCCACTCGAACTAGACTGTCGTATAGTCGTTTGGTATGATTATTATCGTTATTATTGCTGTTGCGTACCTAATTATTATAATATGATTATTATTTTTTTTTACTCACCGACTATATGACGACGGTACTATCATGTACTCTAAACGAAATAAGTCCTCCCTCCGGCTTGATTGTAAATCGGGTCCGGTATGCTGCTGTACACGTGGTGCAGCTTGTGCCTCTGCTGGTAATCGATGGACACGTAACTGTGGTTGGACGGGTCCTCGTCCTCGTCAGTGGTCCTCTGCGACGATTCCTCGGACATGCACGAGCTCTGCGTGGGAGCCTGCGACTGCGTCACCGAGGCCGGGCTCATGCGGATCCACGCCTCGAGGGACGTCGGAGCGGCCGTGTACCTGGCCACGGGTCGGCCGTCGCATATCACTTTCTTCAGGTCGCCGCCGGCGCTGGCCATGGGCTTGGGGTCTGGCATCAGGTACCGGAGTCGGTCCCAGAACCGCTTCTCGCCCCACGTGACCACGTCGCACGACTTGAGCAGCGCCTGTAGCTCCCGGTCCGGCGTGATCGTGGTGGTCAGCAAAACGACCACCGACTGCTTTTTCGTCTTGGCCCGTTCCAGGCACGCCTGGAACGCGGTCCGGAACACCGGTTTCTCCCATTCGTTTTGCAGGAACGACAGCGACAGCACGACGATTATGCGCTTGGACGCGTCCGACGCCCCGAGGAAGCTGTCCATCAGGTACGCGGGGCTGATGACGTGTATGTCCCGGTAATGCAGGCACAGGCTGTACCCGAACCGCTCCAGGCTGGTGGACAGTATGTGGTTGACGAACTCCTCGTCCTTGATGCTGTACACCATGTACGCGTCGTACAGCTTGTCAGTCTCGCTGGACGACGGCGACTTGCACACGCGCACGCCGTACCGGGAATGCGCCCACAGGCACAGGTCCTCGCGGAACACCAGGGCCAGGGCGACCAGCACGAACACGACGATGAACAGGGCCAGGCTGGCGGCCACGAACGGCACGTAGTCGGTGCCCAGCACGGACGTGTTGTAGAACGGCCGGTGGATGCTGGGCCCGGTGTCGCGCTCCGACTGGCACTTTTGGATGGCCGAGGCCACCGGCGTCGTCTTGTCCGAGCACAGCATCGTCGACGGCGGGTAATCGTTGTTCTTCAGCCAGCCCTCGAGCCCGACGATCACGTCGCAGTCGCACAGCCACGTGTTGCCGGCCAGCGAGACGGACGTCAGCGTGTTGGCCGCGTTCAGCTGCTGCCACGGCCGGAACTCGTTGATCTGATTGTTCTCCAGGTGCAGCACTTGCAGCGACTTGAGCGGGGCGAACGACCGGTTCGCGACGCTCGTTATCCGGTTGTCGTTCAGGTACAGTTCGGCGAGCTTGGGCAGCGTCTCGAACTCGCCGCCGTTGAGCCGGTCCAGCTGGTTGTTCTCGATGTGCAACACCCGCAGGTCGGGCACCCCGTTGAACGTCTTGTTGTGCAGCGACACCACGTTGCTGTTGTTCATGTACAGCACTTGCAGTTTCTTTTTGCCGAGGAAAACGTGGCTGGACAGCTCGCCCAGATCGTTGCCGTCCAGGTATATCTCGGTCGCGTCCATCGGGATCCGGGCCGGGATGGACTTGTACCCGGCGTTCGAGCAGTCCACGATGTTGGACGACCAAACGTGGTCGTGGTAACACGTGCAGTTGTCGGGGCACGTCATCTCGCAGTCGCACGCGTCAAAGTCGCAACACTCGCACACGGAGAAGCAGTGCGACTCGTACTCGCACAGGAACTGCGACGGTTTCAGGTCCAACAGCGGTTTGTACTTTTCGGTCTTGGAGTGCACCAGCCGGCACATGATCGAGTCCATGTCCATTATGCGGGGGTGTTGGCGCTGCACGCTCAGCTGATTGATGCGCTGCAGCCATTCGGTGGTGCAGTCGCATTTCAGCGGGTTGTCGCCGATGTAGAACTGCGGCAGTTCCTTGGTCTCCGGCACCGGGTCCAGCCGGAGACTGGCGATGTCGATGTACTCCATTTTGTTGGCGTACAAAACCACCCGGGACAGGTTGGCCTTCCGCAGGAACGTGTTGATTTTGATTTTGTGTATCAGGTTGTTGTTGAGGAACACGTTTTCCACGCTGTCCGGTATCGACGTGTCCGTGATCTCGGTGAGGCGGTTGAAACTGGCGTCCAACATTTTTATTTGTATCGTGTCGCGTTGCACGTAATAGTTGCCCAGGTTGCTGATGGCGTTCTTGTGCATGTCCAACCACTCGACGCTGGACGGCAAGTACGAGTAATCGAAATTGGCGATTTGGTTGTCGGACACGTTCAGCCACACCAGTTTGGACAAGCCGTCGAACATGCCGTTTATATCTGACAGCGCGTTACCGTCCAGCCGGATGGCGTGCAGCTTGTTGGACGTACCGAACGCTTGCTGGTCGACGTGCGTCAGTCGGTTGAAGGCCAGGTTCAGCACCTGGAGCAGAGGCATCGTGGAAAACGTGTTCGCGGTCAGGTTGCCGATCTCGTTGTTGGACAGTATCAAGTTGTACAGCAAGTCGAGTCCGTCGAACGACGCGTTTTTCACGTGCCTGATGACGTTACCGCCCAGGTCGAGCGTCTTGAGCATGTGCAACTTGGACAGGGCGGCGGGCACCTGCCGGAGGGCGTTACCGTACAGGCCCAAGTCGTGCAGGTTCGTGCAATTTTGGAACGCGTGTTCGTCCACCGTGTCGATGCGGTTCCTGTCCAAGAACAGCTGATTGATGACGTACAGCCCGGAAAAGTGCAGCGGTTCGATGTGTTTGAGTTTGTTGAACGACAGCGTGAGCGCGTGCAGGTTGCTGAGCGCGGCGAACGCCTGGTCCGCCAGCATTTCGATGTTGTTGTGCTCGAGATTGAGTATCTGCAGGCTGTACAGGTCCTGGAACACGTGCGAGTCGATTTTCGACAGCTGATTGTGGCCGAGGTTGAGGACCACCAGCCGGACGAGGCCGGAGAACGTGTCGCGGTTCACCCAGGTGCTGGTCAACTCGTTGTGCGACATGTCCAACACGAGCAACTGGTCGAGTCCCTCGAGTAATCCCGGCGCCAGTACGTTTATCGAGTTGTTGTGCAGGTAAACTTCGCGCAGATACCGGGTGGAATGGAACAGTTCGGGCGGCAGCGCCGAAAGCCGGTTGCTCGACACGTTCAGCACGTTGAGGGACGTGAGTCCGACGAACGCGCGGTCCGCGATCTGGTTGATCTGGTTCTCCTGCAGGTACAATTTTTTCAGCGCCCTGAGGCTGGTCAGTCCGTTATCGGGCATCGATATGATGTCGTTGTTGGCCAAGTTCAGGTCCTCGAGCGCGGTGTTGCACGTCTTGCCGGGTGCCGTCGGACCGTTTCCCCAGTCCGAGAAGCCCAGCTCGAACACGTCCTGCAGCCGATTTTTGGTCAGGTTCAGGTTGGCGAGTCCGACCAGCGGGCAGAAGAGCTCTTTGGGCAGGTTCCAGATGTTGTTATCGGACAGGTCGAGTTCCCGGAGCTGGACGAGCCCGCGCAGGCTGTCCGAATGGAAGTCCATGGTCATGGCGGACCAGTCGGTGTTGTGGGTGCGGATGCGCAATTTCTTCAGTTCCCTGGACGTGCTGAGCACCGCGGGCGGCACGTACTTGATCTTGCAGTACTCTAGGTCCAGATGGTTGAGGCGCCGGAGCTGCGTGAGGAAGCTGTTCTCCAGGCTGCTCTCGAAAAATATTACGTCGCTACACTTGAGCGTCAGGCTGGTGATCATGTCCATTTGGGCGGACGTCAGGTTAGATATGACGCTGTCCGCGTTGTTGATGGTCCGCAGCGAACACTTGAGCACGACGCGCAGCGGCTGCGCCTCGTCCGCGGCCATCACGCGCTGCCAGTCGCACACCGGGTCGCCGTTGTTGGCGCAAGCGGTGCCCGACAGCGACACCAGCACCGACATCAGCAGCCACGCCAACGGGCCGGCGGCGTATCGTCGACGGTACGTCATCGTCGGCGGTATACAGTTTTCGGCGGCAATCGGTCGGTCGGGGGGGTCCAAAAAAAAAAAAAAAAAAACTCACTCCCGAAACCGTCACCGGACGCACATCGCGTGAGAAAAACGGGAAAAAAAATTGTACGATTTTTTTTTCTGTCTAATTTTTCCCAAAAAAAAAAAAAAAAAATAATAAATAATAATAATATATTATTATTATTGTTGTCTGACACTCGGGAGTGTGTCTCCGGCTCGCGTACGGCGTACGACGGAAAAATCGAAAAAAAATCACAAACGCGTAAAACGGCGGACGCACATAAAATACACACACGGACACGGAAAAAAAATTAAAGACGGACACTCGCGCGCCAGGTCGAGCAAAACGTTTGCGGACCGAACGGTACGGTCGACGGCGAGAAACTGTCTCGGCGATCGGCGGCGGCCGTGTGTGTCGGACGGCTGACGGCCACCGCGTTTCGGCCGCCAGAGAGCGCGGCGGACGGCCGCAGTCTCTGCCGCCGCCGCCGTCGAGCGCTGGCGCGCGAAGTGCAACCACTTGTTTGGCGGCGGCGGCCACCCCACCGGGATTCGGCGGCGGCGGCGGCTTCTGTGCATAAGTAACTGCGGTGGTTACGCCGCCGCCGCCGAGTGATATTATTCTTTCGGTTCTGTATTTATTTTTTCTCTCGCCCTCTTCTTTTCCCACCCTCCTCCCGTGACCCGTCGAAAATATGTGTCGTGCCGACAATAGACACAGGGGTCGGTCGTATAACGCAGGGTCGCACAATGGGCTCTCTTCGGATAACATTATGTTTTCTTTGGGGTTTTTTTTCACCACCACCACTACTACGCTACACTACACGACCCGAAGGTTTTAGGTACAAATATACAATAAAAACAACAATAAAAATACAATGTATAATATTATATATATTATAATAATATGATAGTATTATTGACCACCGCCACCACCTGATCTCGAGCCGCGGCACAAGGGCACATCGTCGTGAATCCGCCGCAACAACAATATCGTTGTGCGTCGCTTTGTGTCCGGAATTTCTTTTACTCTCGCCGAACACACCCCGCCGAACGTGGGTACCGGATCGCTTCGATTTTCGAAATCGATCTGCTTATTACCCGTATTTCCGGAACGCACATTTCCCATGGTATTGACCGAAATAACATTATCATTCGGTTGTTTGCACTACCTTCGATTTCTTGCACCAAATTTATACTCACCACGCGATCCCGTCCACGCTCGGAACGGTAATAATAATAAATAATATTATATTATTCTATACCTGATACCGAAACAACGGTAACGGTCGCCGTGCCCCGTTTGGGGACGTGTATGGTAACGTCACCGTCGTTACATTTTATTATTTTTCGTAAAAGTTTTATCCACGCTCGCACACCAGTCACCGGGTTGTCGTAGGGCGCGTGTGTGCTCGTGTGTCAATATTGTATTAAGGGGATTCGATTCAGCGTATTTATTTCATGATTTAGACCTAAAAGCCTGACAAAAATACGCCTACTTAGAATTATCAGATTTCAATTCTGTAAAAAGATTCGAGTTCATTGACAATTTTCCTAGGTTATTGTGGGAATCAATTTTCGATATTTTTTTTAGAATTCACGTTAAATCATACTTCAATTTCTCAATTTTTTGAAAATTGTTTGTGTCTTTCTTTAAAAAGTTAAACAGTTATTCAAAAATCGACTCCCACAATAACCTAGAAAAAAGAACGATGAATTCAAATATGTTTACAGAACTAAAATCCGATCATTTTAAGTTATCGTATTTTTGTCAGGCTTTTAGGTCTCAATTGATTGAAATTAGTTTCTCGTTGGAACAAATATTTTATTATGTGACATGTGCATGCGGGTGCGAACCACTGATTCCTAACGTATCTACGCACACTAATGATCATTTACTTCGCACACAAACACACTGCGAAACGATTATAATACATCGAATTGCCTATACACGACCCCTTATTAAATCACCGGATCGAATCCCCTTAATATTAGCGAAACATTGGAATTGGCGTGCGGCCCCTCGTAGTTTGCGGTCACGCAACCAAACGCGCGCACGAACCTCTCGAACGTCGGAACAACGCGCCCGGTCGAGTCGAAACTTTTACCACCGAAATCCGGTCGAAGAGTTGATAACGGAAAAACACTATTAATCCGTCGCGAAAAGTCCACGACATAGTCGCAAATGGGGGAGGGGAGCTTTAGGGGCTAAGTCCCCCAAAAACGTCCATAGCCCCCCGCCCCCAAACAATTCCTACGTTTTGTTTTAGGCTTATTCGATATTATCTAATAAATGCTTTAGCAACCCCAAATCCCAAACGCCTATGGACTCCACGACGTTGTTTCGTGATGTCAACTATTAAACTATTGAAATAGTATTAATGTTATTAGGTGGGCACATATTATTATTATTATATACGACGGCCTCGCTAGTTTTTCAGTATCATCTTCGCAACGAGTTTTCAATAAACGCGATGTTTGTGCGTGACATTTGCCCGCCGTTGTCGTCGAAGGTCCGTTATTATCATCATCATCATCATTATTGTTATTTATTTTCATTCATACAAGAATGGAAGCGAAACGAAATGACAATTTAAAAAAGAAAAAAAAAAAGCATATTACAAGCCTCGGAATCGACAACACAGAAATGAATGATAAGTGGTGTGTTATTATTATTATTATTTTTTTTTTCAATTTAGGGACGATTGTTACGCAGATGTCGCGATTCGCGACCATTATATTAGTTCAGATAATCGGAAACTTCGTATATACCTACTCCGACAAAAGAGTACCACATATCGTGTGTACAGCTGCTGCTGCTCTGTATACATATATGTCATGTGCACGCACGTGGTTTATTTTTCGTTTTCCTTATTCTTTCGCGCATAAAGACATTCCGTAAAGTTGATCTTAATCGGCGAAACATATATTATATTTATTGCCTATTATATCGGAAATATATATTATTATTATTATAATTCGAGAGAATTCGTTTGAAAACAAAAATCGTGTGCTCGTCGAATGTACTACTTATATCCGTTCTGCACTCCGACATCTGTTGGCCCCGATTTCAAAACAATAAACGAGACACGCGATATTGCAATAATGTCTGACGAGTTTATTGAAACGATTATACTATACATAGAGGTAGGTAGGTACTATATATATAGCTGGAATAGTTTCAAAACAATTAACAGTTAAACGATGTTTCCTACTAATTGTTTTATAATATTGTTTTCATTTACTTATTGCCCCACTTATTGTATGGATGGTAAATTTTCACTAAATAAACAAAAATGTTTATAAAAAAAAAAAAAAATATGTTATTTTACCGTCGTACCTACTTATCTTTTTCAAATACAAAAATAATAAAGGGATAAAATATCCAGAAAAACGGGTAGAAACTGTTGTTTTACTAAAAATATGTTTTCTAAAACTAATTTCTTTATGACCGTGACCTTTTATTCCACCCGCTGCACTAAATTTTTCGTTCAAAGGTATATTTTCCTTTTCATTGGTTTTTTTTCAACAACGATCATATTTATTTGGACTTCGTATATTATGTATTTATACGAGACCAATACGTTAAAAATGAATTTTGATACACCGATATGAATACAAATTAATTCAAAAGTTGATAAGCCTGCAAGGTACTATTCGTCGCAGTATAATTTCAAATGCCAGTAGAAAAAAAAAAACATTTAAACATTCTCTTCCGATGAACCGTTTTATGTTTAAGTTACGTACAGAAAAAAATGCTAGTAAATAAAATAATAAAATACTCATGCCAAGGTAAACACTTAAATGTAGTGAACATTTTTTATTTAGAGTGGTACGTTTAGAATGGGTACCTACTACTACTTGAAAACCATCGACGTTTTAGTGGCTTACCGACGGGTGGGTATAGCGTATGTGTGTTTTGTGTGTATACTTGTTGTCATTAATTTCAAACTTTTTATCTACAGGACTATATAAATAAAATACGCCACAGTATCTCATTATGGAACTATTTTCCCGAATCGCCGGTTGACACGCGAAAACGAAACCACGCGGGGGTGGCGATGCAGGGGTGGTGTGTATGAAATATATGTTAGGTTTTCACATTCCAAAAATATCCTACATAACAAATAAAGATATTTATTATACTATGAATTCGTGTACGGATAAACGAATAAAAAATTATTTAGAAAAATTATCCAGAGAATAAAATATATAATAATATCCAGATGTATTAAAACGTTCGTAAAAAAAAAACCATCATAAAACCAAATAAAATATCGGTTTGTTCTACCTAGTTTTGTATAACAATTAAGTATTGATTAAGGTGTCTGGTAATCGTCGAGTTCAATACTTAGGGTTATCTCGATAAAATATATATGAGTAAAATCATGTCAGGTAACTGCAGATACTCTATCGATTAGAAATGCAAAATAAGATTAAAATATGTGCGAATGTTTCATTTTAGCAATTCTAAAACATCATAGAGAAGTCATGAAGTTTGAAGAACTCGAAATAAAACAGCTACTGAGAATGAACGTCAAGACAATATTTCAATTATTTCAATATTTCTGAATTCACCTACAAATATCATGACAACACGGCGTTTTGGATAGGCAATTAAAGTACTTCCTTCTTGAAAGTTTATCTTTACGCTATATACAATTTTTAAAAAAAACCTAGTTAAAAGTGATGGTTTACTTATCGTCAATGATTGCGCTTTTGTCATCTATTTGTCTTTTAAAAGGCTGCCACTGATAGACGTCCGTGCGACCGTGCACCTGACTCCTGTGTCCCTGTCGACTTGGTTCAAAATTACGTTTCCCAAATAAAGTTGTTTCAGAACAAGATTTTTTTTTAAATAATAGTATAATATACTCATAGATATTTTTATTTATTATAATTTCGATTGACGTTTGAGTCGTATAATAATCATATAGAGTAATAATATTATATTATAATATAGTCGTGCTTATGGGGGACGGATAGTGGGCAGGCGGTTAACCACCTAACCTAACCTAACCCTCAGTTGGCAGGCGACTTTCTTTTTTAATAAGGTTTCATTATTAATTTGTAGTTGCCGTCTTGCATACCTGTGTACCTAAGTATGCCTCTATACATATAATATCATATTATATATCGCTGGGTGTGCACAAGAACTGTATAATATGAAGAACGGATGACGGCTCCGACGACAACGCGGCAGTCGTATTATAAATTCTTTTTAAAAATGTACCTCCTGCAGGTCTATTCCCTGCGGCCCCTGTTCGCTTATCCCGCGATTATTCTTCAACCCTCGTACACTGTGTAATATGTAACCGAGCTGTATATACTCGCGAGAGACATTAAATATTAAATCCAATTTGTCTGCGGCTGTTGATTTGCAGTGCCGTTCGAAGTCAATCGGTCAGCCGCGCCTCTAGAATACGCACGATTGCACGAATGCGATAAAATATTATTATCCTTATCACGCGCATGCGTAACTCATTATTGAGTCGTTGAGTCCTGAGCATTATCTGGATACATTTTTAGCTTTTTTATTTTGGAAATTTGATCTCCGATATCGTTTAGAGAGCTTTTGAAGAATTCAATCTATATATAGGTATCATATTATATTATTTATGGATATAACAAAAACCGTATTGTTTATATATCTGTTTGTTTTTATACACACTATGTTAAGATAATAAGGTCAATTTAAATATTATATACCTATAATATGTAAATATATGTTTTGCGGTTTAATATAATATTATAATATATTAATAAGCAATACAGTGGAACCTCGATAACTCGAACGTCTATAAGTCGAATTTTCGATAACTCGAAAGAATGTCTTGGCCCCTACATTTCAATAAAATGAACCCAAGTACACAACATGTTTTCTATAACCCGAATTTTTTTTTGTCCCCGACAGATTTGAGTTATCAAATTTTCACTGTATATGATTTTTTTAAATTTTTAACATATTAAATATGTTTTGAGCTGGGTACAGCTGTTTTTATTTTCTAACTGATTTTGAATAACTCTTTTTGTATCACCATATAGAAACGAATACCTATAATGTAAAACTAAAATTCCAATTCACACTATAGGTATATAAACATTAAACAATTAATAGTTACTTATTAA